ACAGAATTAAGTAGTTGTGACACAGATTGAATGGCCCCCAAAACCTAAAATATTTGCCACTTGGGCCTTTATAGAAAATGCCGACTTTTATGGTGTTCCACGTGTAAGTCGTTCGTTCTTTTTTATGCCTGTGTAGTATAGATAGGTAACAAATATTTTTCTTTTTGCCTGTTGATGGACATTTGGATTGTTTCTTAGTTACCTTTATTCCGTATAATGTGCTCTGGTGTTTTCTGTTTCTTTTCTTTATTTCTCTCTCTCTCTCTCGCTCTCTCTTTTAGTGCAAAAAAGGTGATTTTATTAAAGCACAAGGACAGGACCCATGGGCAGAAAGAGCTGCTCTGATCTTTCCTATCCAGTTCAGTTTTTCAAAATTGCTAGCCACCACCCGCTAGGCTGATTTCACAACTCATCAGTGGTTTTTTGTTTGTTTTTTTTTTTTTAATTTTTTTTTCAACGTTTTTATTTATTTTTGGGACAGAGAGAGACAGAGCATGAACGGGGGAGGGGCAGAGAGAGAGGGAAACACAGAATTGGAAACAGGCTCCAGGCTCCGAGCCATCAGCCCAGAGCCCGACGCGGGGCTCGAACCCACGGACCGCGAGATCGTGACCTGGCTGAAGTCGGACGCTTAACCGACTGCGCCACCCAGGTGCCCCTCATCAGTGGTTTTGACTGTCAGTTTAACAACCACACTGCTATAGATGTTAAAGAAAAAAATGGAGGATACAAGGTGGAAGAAAAGAGCATTAGGGCTGAGTGCTGAGGAAATCCAGCAATTAAACATAGGATACAGGAAGAAGGATGAAGAGGAGACAGAGAACACAGTTTGATCTCGGGAAGCAAGGGAAGTGTCGATTTCAAAAAAGAAGTGATTATCTGGATCTAATGCAGCTGAGACATCATGTAAGCTGGATGGGGATGATTTTAGTGAGATTTGTTTGGGTGGAACGAAGGCACTGAAACCACATTGAGATGAGTCGGTGGAATGTGCGTGATGAAAATTGAGACCCTAAGTGTAACTGGAGGGAGCTATGGATGGGCTCCACTGAGGAGTCTTTGTCTGCCTGGTTTTGGTGTGCCTTTTTTTTTTTTTTAATGTGAAAACCACAAGAGTGTTTAAAGAACACTAAAAGGCAAGTATAACCTGAATTTTACAGATGAGTAAACTAAAACAGCACAAAGTCAAGCAACTGGCCCAAGTAGCTTTTCAGTTTGAAGAGCTCCGATTTACTTGGATCTACAATCTGAGCTCTGACAGTGTGCTATTCTAAAAACCAAGAAAAAGCTAGCCCATGGGTAATCCAACAGTTGTACCTGTGATTTACAAGTCTGCAATTGTAGGAATACTTTTAAAGTCTTTGGTAGACGTTGGGCATCTTTTCATGTGCCTGTTGGCCATCTGGATGTCTTCTTTAGAGAAGTGTCTATTCATGTTTCCTGCCCATTTCTTCACTGGATTATTTGTTTTTTCAGGTGTGGAGTTTGGTGAGCTCTTTATAGATTTTGGATACTAGCCCTTTGTCCGATATGTCAGTTGCAAATATCTTTTCCCATTCCGTTGGCTGCCTTTTAGTTTTGTTGATTGTTTCCTTTGCTGTGCAGAAGCTTTTTATCTTCATGAGGTCCCAATGATTCATTTTTGCTTTTAATTCCATTGCCCTTGGGGATGTGTCAAGTAAGAAATTGCTGCGGCTGAGGTCAGAGAGGTTTTTTCCTGCTTTCTCCTCTAGGGTTTTGACGGTTTCCTGTCTCACACTCAGGTCCTTTATCCATTTTGAGTTTGTTTTTGCGAATGGTGTAAGAAAGTGGTCTAGTTTCATCCTTCTGCATGTTGCTGTCCAGTTCTCCCAGCACCACTTGTTAAAGAGACTGTCTTTTTTCCATTGGATATTCTTTCCTGCTTTGTCAAAGATTAGTTGGCCGTACTTTTGTGGATGAAAACTACACTCAGATATCACCTCACGCCAGTCAGAGTGCCTAAAATGAACAAATCAGGAGACTACAGATGCTGGAGAGGATGTGGAGAAACGGGAACCCACTTGCACTGTTGGTGGGAATGCAAACTGGTGCAGCCGCTCTGGAAAACAGTGTGGAGGTTCCTCAAAAAATTAAAAATAGACCTACACTATGACCCAGCAATAGCACTGCTAGGAATTGACCCAAGGGATACAGGAGTGCTGATGCATAGGGGCACTTGTACCCCAATGTTTATAGCAGCACTCTCAACAATAGCCAAATTATGGAAAGAGCCTAAATGTCCATCCACTGACGAATGGATAAAGAAATTGTGGTTTATATATACAATGGAATACTACGTGGTAATGAGAAAGAATGAAATATGGCCCTTTGTAGCAACATGGATGGAACTGGAGAGTGTTAAGTGAACTAAGTCATACAGAGAAAGACAGATACCATATGTTTTCACTCTTATATGGATCCTGAGAAACTCAACAGAAACCCGTGGGGGAGGGGAAGGAAAAAAAAAAAGAGGTTAGAGAGGGAGAGAGCCAAAGCATAAGACACTCTTAAAAACTAAGAACACACTGAGGGTTGCAGGGGGTTGGGAGGGAGGAGTGGGTGGGTGATGGGTATTGAGGAGGGCACCTTTTGGGATGAGCACTGGGTGTTGTATGGAAACCAATTTGACAATAAATTTCATATTAAAAAAAAATAAAGTCTTTGGCAGGCTTCTTGGGAGGAAAACGTGATTATTCACGATCTGAGATTTGTGAACAGCAAGAAATCCGTCTACTTTTAAATCAGGTGGGGCTCTGGTCCATACAACATGTTTATGGAGGAAAATCACTAACCTACAAAATACCAACATTAGGATCTTCTAAAAATAAATAGAAAACCCACATTGATGGACATTCCATAAAGTATCTGTCCTGTCCTCATATCTGTTGTGAGACACACAAATAGTCCTTCTGTTGGAAGAACTATTCAAGAGCACACTATTCTAGACTTTCTATCAAGGACTTATCTGGGGAAAAGTGTCAAAATATGAATAGAGTCTATTGATTAGAAAGTAATATCATCAAGTTATTTAGAGACGAAAGGACATCATCTGCAACAAATTGCAAAATGATTCAGGGGCAAACTATGTGTGTTCATATTTATTTATTCACTTAGAGAGAACAATATAGCAAATGTGGTGAAATGTTAACATACAGGAAATCGGGAAGAGTTTCAGAGAATTCTTTATCCTTTTCTTGCAACTTTCCTACAAGTCTGAAATTATGTCAAAACAAAAAGAAAAACGAGAGGGTGGTAAGAAATCATATCTTGGCAAACTTCCTTGGATATAAAAATATACGTGGCATAGGAAAATTCACAGCTTTTCTCATTTAGGTCAGAATTAATGTAAAGTCAAGAATGTTAGTGTCTGCTAACAACACAGAAAAAGCAAACGAGGTACCATGTGCCTTTTGACGAAGAGAACAACAATCATCTCTGAACAAGTCCCCAGAACTTCAGACCTAAACCTGATTAAGCCTAGATCCAACCGCCAATTTGCGGGAAATATAGAAAACAGAGGGAAATTCAGACTAAGGAAAATTCTACAACAGTAACATGATGTCTTCAACAGATCAATTGTAAAGGAAAAAAAGATATAGGAATACCTATAGATTAAAAGATAATACGTGTGTGTGTGTGTGTGTATATATATATATATATACATAGAGAGAGAGAGAGACTATATATTAAGAGACTATATATATTAATGTTTCTTTATTTTTGAGAGGGGGAGGGGCAGAGAGAGGGAGACAGAGGATCCAAGGAGAGCTCTGTGCTGGACACGGGGCTCGAACTCACGAACCAGGAGATCGTGACCTGAGCCGAGGTCAGATGCTTAACCAACTGAACCCCCCAGGAGCCCCTAGATATATTTTTATAGTGTTTATGGATGCATGTTTGGGTGATAAAACCGCAAAGGAATGATTAGGACATGATTACTGTAAAGATCCAAAAGTGGTTATTTTTTCTTGGGGTGAGGGAGCTGGGATTGTTTGGGGCAGGGCTTATGGGATGTCTGAGAAGGTTCCTCTCATGGAGGAGATGGTGATGACAGGGTGATAGTTGGTGACAATTCATTTCTTTTAAGCTGTTTCCTATATTTTCACAACAAAATTTGTCTTTGCTGCTTTTGTTTCATTTTGTTTTGAGCTGCGTTGGTGAACTTAGTGAAACTAATGAAACAAGGTAGGTTACAAATCGTCTCAGTGTTGCCACCTTAAGTCTCCTTGAGGAACCGCAGACTTCTCTCCGAAATTGCCGGGTGAGATTTAAAAAATGATTGAAATCAATTTTTTTTTCCAGGTAATTGACTTAACTTCAATTCATGAGAGAAATGCACGCAAATGGCAAATATCCAGAGAGTGTAGAAGAATAGAAAATGGGATATTGCCAATTTCTTTTCCCTCGTCTGTAACCCCCCTGCTCCCATTCTGTAGAAGCTTTTACCTTCTACTTTGTAAAAAATATCGTTGTGTCTGTGCCTTAATTTAGAAAGAACCTATTGTTTCCTTACTCTAAAAAATGATAAATTTATTGCCATTTGCACAAGCTCTCCTATCCTCTCCACTTCCTGATTTTTGTTACTTAATTTTATTTCTTCTAGAAATAAAAGCGAACACCCTTTATGCCTTAAAATATTACACTTAAAACTTTGAATCTTGACTTTGCCATTTCAGAGAGTCTTTACTTAGTGTGAAATGAAGTTGAGGACATTGGTGATTCCACTTACATTCCTACTCACCTTGCCTCTTCCCTCCCACTTTTTGGTAATTTACTAATTTTCCATCACCCTGGTGAATGATAAATACATCTTCCATATATATCACTTGGTTGATTCAAAAAGTTAAAGGTTACTTTACATTGTCACCATGGAAATGGCATCCCTCAAAAGAGTTCCTTTTTTAGCTTGTGGTGTTTCAGATTGATAATTCTGCCATTCTCATTTCATTTCCTGAAATTCAGGGTCGGCTTGTGAAAAGTTGTTAAACAACATGCTAAATGTGAAATGTCAATCCTCACTCTAAACTTTCCCTGTTCAGAGCATCAAATGAAGAATTCATTGGGTTTTATAGCGGCTTTCTGATTTTGGTAGTCCATTGAAGAAGGGAGTTTGAAAGTTGTTGTATACTGATAACGATTGTCTGCCCATGTCCTGCCTGAAATAGCATGATTGTTTATGAAGGGTATCTTTAATAAAGCTGGATACAGTTTGGCTTGGGAAAAAAAAAAAAAGCTAAAGGTTAAAAGCAACATTTACAATACGTTTATGTAAATATCAATCGGGACACAAAAAAAATCATGTGAATAGACTCAAAGGGGAAAAATAACCACAAACTTCTTTTATTTGGTTTGCTTTTTGCCTATTTCAAGAAAAGGTCTGTATTGGCACATATAAGCCAAATGTTCTCACAATGAGTGGTTTCATGTTTTGTTTTCCTACAATATTTTTCTCATATGTCTGTACTAGCTCATAGAATGCTACATTTACATAGCTGTCCATCCACAAGCGAAATGGTTTTAACTTATTTTGCTGTGTGTGTGTGTGTGTGTGTGTGTGTGTGTGTGTGTGTGTGACAGACGAGTATAAAATGAAAGCTATGGACATTTTCCCCAAATGTACTCATAGTACAAAATTTTGGATATAGTTTCAGGAGTTTTACGGGCCTCCCCCTGGGTCACAAAGTAAAAACCTCTGTTCTAAACAGTGTATCCTTAAAGGCAGGGATCTGGTCTTATTTTTGTATTTCTAGCATCTGACTGTCCAAGATGGCAGCCAATACATATATTTGGGTAAATATTAAATGAACCAATTATTCCCAGTTTTTCATGGGGGGAATAATTTTCATCTTTTAAGTTTACTTTTTTTTTTTTCAACGTTTATTTATTTTTGGGACAGAGAGAGACAGAGCATGAACGGGGGAGGGGCAGAGAGAGAGGGAGACACAGACATGGAAACAGGCTCCAGGCTCTGAGCCATCAGCCCAGAGCCTGACGCGGGGCTCAAACTCACGGACCGCGAGATCATGACCTGGCTGAAGTCAGTCGCTTAACCGACTGCGCCACCCAGGCGCCCCTTAAGTTTACTTTTAAAGTAGAAGAGGTTAGGGGCACCTGGCTGGCTCAGTTGGTAGGGCATGTGCCTCTTGATCTCGGGGTCGTAAGTTCCAGCCCCACATTGGGTTTGGAAATTACTTGAAAATAAAATCTTAAAAATAAATAAAATAGAAGAGGTTAATTTCATCTGTCTAGTTTTTGTTTGGTAGAATCTACTTTGTGACATAATCCAAAGATACTTGGAGGTGGTTTTAAAAAGTAAGATTTTGCGGGGAGCCTGGCTGACTCAGTTAGTGGAGCGTGTGACTCTTGATCTAGGGGTCCTGAGATCGAGTCACACTTTGGTATAGAGATTACTTACAAATAAAATATCTTTCAAAAAATATGAATATTTAATGATATCCTTGCTGATATGTTCAGGGGTGAAATATATCGATATCTGCAATTTTGAAATGTATCAAAACAGAAGACATATTGGTGAACAGACAGATGCTTATGTAATAGAGCAAATATAGGGAATTGTTCATTGTAAAATCTAGAAAGTGGGCATGTGGGTGTTCATTTCACTTTCAACGTTTTCTAAATGTTTGAAATTTTTCACAAGTCGGAAAAAGTGATTTGCTTAAGCAGAGGTACATTCAATGTTGGATCTTTTAAGGCATAAACAGACATAAGTCTTTCTTCTGTTTGCAGAACTCTGGGGAATCTGAATAGTTCCCGGGGTACACTCTGAACTGGCACGCAAAGGTTCTTTTGGTAGAGAACAATTTTATTAACATATCTGGGCAATTTACCAAATACAAGTTAGAGAGCGCAAAACATGTAATTACTGCGCTGAAAATATGACCCAGTCATTTACGCAGATTTCAGAAGAGATGCGCACAAAAGAGATAAAAGGAATGGTTTTGTGGTTGTAACGTCATTTTGGTCTTTGCTGAAGTGTTTTCTGACTGCAAACGTGGTACGCTAGTCTCTTTCAGTATTCCTCAGTAGAAGAATAAGCAAATGTATGTCCTCTCCCATTCCTTAGAAACACATGATTCTACGGCAGGGGTGGAAGCGGTTACGGAGGCAGTGTGTGTGGTGGACAGGCGCTGCGGTCACGGTGCTTGGGTCTGGCTGGATCCTACCTAGACTGGCACCGGGATATGGATAACTATCTCTCCATCATAGAGCTGTTGTGCCATAAAGTGGAACAGCAGCAGCTGACCTATTATTATCACCTGACATATCATAATTATGGCTTGACATAATGAAAGAAGCCGGACCGGTTGTTTCAAAGTCTTTTCCATCTGGAATTCCGCGGTGAGACAAATACCCCAGCTCGCATCAGCACCGCTTTTAAACACCCGCGATCACTTGGGAACCTCATACCTGAACCCCCGGCAAACCCCTCGGCACCTAGTAAACTGGCCATCCTGCGCATGTGCGGGGGTGCTCGCTAGCCCCGCCCCTCTGTGGTGCATGGCCTGTTCCATTCCTGAGGGATGTTGAAGGTGCGGAAAACTTGGAAGCATAGGACAGGGAAGTACAGGTGCGTGAGTAGTATTTCCAGCCTCTCAGTGCAAGAGTGGTCACTTGTGGTTATTATATGTTTACTCCGACGCCTGCGACGGGCTTGTGAAAGTTTGCAGCGGCTGCGCCGTGCCTTCCCCCCCCCCTTCACCTGGGCACGTTAGGGCTGGCCGGCGGGATGGCCAGGTACGGAAGCCTAGAGGGCCCCGCCCACCCCGAGGGGCCCCGCCCCGCCCCGCCCCGCCCCGCCCCGCCTCCCTGAGACCCGCAGATTTCCCACCCCGCGGCGACGCCCGGCTGCTCCTCCCCGTCTCCGCCCCGCCGGCCGCGGCCGCGGGGGACGTCAGCGCTGCCAGCGTGGAAACCGCGGCGCGGCGCGGGAGGCGGAAGTAGCGCCCGGACCGCGGGGCCTTTATCGGGCTCCGCCGGCCGCCTCAGCCATGGACGCGTCCCTGGAGAAGGTCTGTACTCGGGCTGGGGGGCGGCCCTGCGGCCCGAGGCCTCCGCCTCCGAGGCGACTGTTTCCCGGTCGCGAGCTGCCATTGTGACCGGGGAGGGGCCTGGGGGCTAACTGGCCCTGACCGAGGGGGCCTGGCCGCGAGGGCGTCCGGCCGGGCGCTCGCCGCTGAGGCCTGGTCACGTCACGGGGCCGGGAATCCTTCGGGTGCCCGTGGGCCGAGAGGGACTGGGCCGGTTCTGCCGGGAGCCCATTGCGGGGGCCGCGGGGCCGACCTTGGGGCCTGCCCGAGCTCGGCTCACCCTTTCGGTTGACGGAGCTAAAGACTTGCGGCCCCAGAAGAGCCTGGACAGCAGCCCCGGTTGTTTCAGAGCCGACTGCAAGCCTGTGGCTTTCCTGTGGTCTCCAAGTTAGGGCGGGGGGATTGTTGAAGCAGTGGGTTTTCCAACTTCAGCGTGACTAGGAATCACCTGGGGCCCTTGGTAAACACCCACATTTTCGGCCCTCGGGTGGGGAACCTCGTGGGGGCGGGACGGGGATCTGCTTGTTTAACAAGTTCCCCCACGTGATTCTGGTGCTGTAGTTTGTGAAGACCCCTGAGGTCAGGAAGGGGTGGGCCTTCTGCGGATCGTGAATTGCTTTGGGGGATTGCTGCTCTTCCGCAACTTGTGACTCCCCCCCTTTTCGTGCCCGGGGGAGACGCTCGCGTCGATCTGAAATCCACTGGTAGCAGCCCTTTCCTCTAGTTTGTCTTGGGGAAGCAGCAGCGTGATGATGCACCTGGCCGATTGCTCTGGCAAGGGAAATGGATTCTAAATTGTCCCGGATTTAGGGCTTGTAAATGAGAACCAGTGCTTGGATCCCTCTTTGGATACCTATCTGCAGAACCTGACATTTTGCCCGCCCTCAAAGTCCTTCTCCCTCTCCAAGCTTGGGAGTCTGCCTGTGCAGACCCAATTTTTTTTTGCACATGTAGAATTCTGGAGCAATGCTAGGGTTTTAAGACTGCTTTATTTTAATTTTGAACCGGTAGCAATAACACTTGGTCATTTTTCAGTGCGGCAGTCCCTGTAGATTTGTTCCCTTGTCACTGGAAAGTTGAAGAGATGATGGTGTCTTCATGGGCACACAGCAATGACACCCCGGGTCATTTCTCATAAATTGGGCGGAAGGCAGTCAAGAAGAGAAAAAGATTGTATGTGTTGAGCGTTACATGTTTATTGGGGAGGAATGAAGTCTTTCGAGGCTTTTGATTAGTACAGTGTCTACCTTGTGGTACTGCGAGTTCCAGGCCAGATCAGTGATTCTCAAGCACGGTGCAGTTTTGCTCCCCAGGGGACATTTGGCAGCTTGTCTGGAGTCGTTTCTGATTGTCACAACTAGTGGGTAGGCAGGTGCGACTGGTGCCTACTGGGTAGAGGCCGGGGACGCTGCTAGACATCCTGGAGTGCACAGGACAGCCTCCACGGCAGAGAATTCTCTGCTTTAAATGTTAGTAGTGCTGAGCCTGAGAATTCCTGCTCTAGATCATATGTGTGACACCCATAGCTGAATATAAAATGATGCTAAGATTATCTCTTCAGTGTTGTTTCCTGTCCAGTTTCCTAAGACAGGATGGCTCTGTGTCTTTTCAGTTAGAAACCTAGAAACGGGAGTGATCCTTCCTCCAAGAATAGTTTTTTATGGGCAAATCTGCAAAAAAGAGTGGGTCGGAATCCTGCTTGAAATACTACTTTTCTGGCATTTGATTAGTAGATTACACTGGTTTCTCCCTGTAAACATTAATGGCTGATAAAAGACCTTAACCTCTCCAAATGAAGATCAGAAAAGGTACTGCAACTCCAGGGTGCTTAAGGCTGGAGCATTCGCAAAAATGGCAGTGATCTTGGAGGAATTCAGAATGTGTGGGCCGGAAGTTTCTGCCTGCCTTAGGCCAGTATGGAAATTCTGAATGTAAGTGTTTCAGAACTAGGACTGTGTCTTATTCTTATATTCCCTGAAGCAGTGGAGGGCCTCATCCGTAATGAACAATCTCTGTTCGTGCTAAGAGAGCAGAAAAGAAAAAGAATTCCTATAGTATTCTATAGGAATGTTGAGGATTTTATGTTGAGAAAAACAGTTTGAATCAAAGTAGAAACACTGAATTGCATCCATTATTCCTGTGTCTTTGAGGACTAGACTATTTTGGGTGAAATTCTACGTTGCGAATATAAAAATGAGAACTCTTTGAGCAGTTCCGAATGATCCCATTTAAACCGATCCTTGCATAATTTATACTGGCTACGGAAACCACAACGTTATTTGATTCCCATTCTCTCATTTCAAGTAATCGCTCTCTCTAGAACGTAGTGTGCTCTCATCATTTAGGAGAATCCGACACTGCATTCCCTCTGGTCCAGGTATGATTCTGTACGCTTGCTTTTTCTTTAGATAATATGTAGATGGGAGACCTGGACAACAGGGCTGTGTTCTTGCTTGCTTCTCTCTCTCAGTACTGCCTGTTGTCTCTGAAATTAGTGAGGTCTCAAGAAACCAGATAGGTCAGTTGAAGGGGCAAGGAGTTTAAACTGGAAGAGTAGGTAGGGGAGCCTCAGCCCCCCACTACCGTATGTCCAGCTCATAAGGAACAAGGCCCTTTGCATAGTCACACAGAGTTTACTTCGGTTAATAGTCAAGTTTAAAAAAAAAAAAAATGCGACAGGAAGGAATTATTCTGATGCTTTAGGTCTTATTACGTTAACACACCTACATACATTTTTTTAGCAAAAACTTGCTACTTTTAACTTGTCCCACAGCCCGGACCTTTTTCTGTTGCTTGGAAAAGCTCATTCTTCCTGGGTATTATGTTTAGACAAAGTGTGCTGCGTTTTATTTGCGTTTACTTTAATTCCCACCTTGAGTAAACTGAAAGCAGGGTGTCTCAAACTCGGCGCTACTAGCATTCTGGGCTCATTCTCTGTTGTGAGAGGCTGTCCTGTAGAATGTTTATTTTGACAGCATCCCTGGCCTCTACCAGTAGCACGTCCCACAGTGTGCAGCCAAAGTCTCCAGATGAAGCAGTTGTTCCCTGGGGGTTGGGGGAACTGCCTCTGGTTGAGAACCACTGACTTGGAGAGTCTGGAGCTGTATGTCCAGTACGGTAGCCACTAGTCACGTTGGCCTACTTAAACTTAAATTTAGATTAATTAAAATAAAATAAGGGGCGCCTGGGTGGCGCAGTCGGTTAAGCGTCTGACTTCAGCCACGATCTCGCGGTCCGTGGGTTCGAGCCCCGCGTCAGGCTCTGGGCTGATGGCCCAGAGCCTGGAGCCTGTTTCCGATTCTGTGTCTCCCTCTCTCTCTGCCCCTCCCCCGTTCATGCTTTGTCTCTCTCTGTCCCAAAAATAAATAAAAACGTTGAAAAAATAAATAAATAAATAAATAAAAGCTAAAATTCAGTTCCTCAGTCGGCACATTTGAAGTGCTCAGTCACAGTGTGGCTTGTGGCTGCACCTCCTGACTGTCGATGTAGAACATTTCCATGCCCACAGACCGTTGTGTTGGACAGCGCTCTAGAGAGGGGCTCGTTTGCTTGTCGTAGGTCTAATGCTTGTCTCTAAAAGAGGCAACTTTGACCCTGGGTCTGATCTAAATAATTAAAAACCCAGCCCATTACTTTTTCTTGTACTCATTCTGAGCAAAAGTCGCCCCCTCCCCCTTGGACCTGATTTTGGAAAATTCTTTCATCGTACTGTTTGTAAGTTTACAAGGAGCAGTAGGAGCATGACTGGAACATTCCTGGTTATTAGTGATAAATACTACCAGAATCTCTATTCTGTTTTTTATTTTAAAATCTCACTAAGGAATCCCTGTTAGCCACGTTTGAAATGACCATTTTCTGTGGTCTGATTTTGTAGATCTTAAATAGAAAAGGCGACAGGAGAGGAGGATAGCCTGTAATTTTAGTACTCATTTAAAGCTGATCCCTGTATCATCATCATGTGAGGGTTTTGCATGCAGGTGCATGATGGCTAAAGTGGTAACTGATTATCAAATGTTGGGTGTCAGGGAAAACATGGTACAGAGTTCCTGATCCTAAAAATTTACGGTCCCGGTAATTTTTGATTTATTCAGGATCGTGGAGATAGTCAGTGCAGAGCTGTAGAAGGTCCCCATTCCAGTGTGGGCTCCACCATATCTAGGATGATGAGTTATAATTATAGATAGGAGTTGCTTGAGTTTAATGTCAGCTGTTTTTACTAAAGCAGTAACCTGGTTTGATTTATAATTTTTATTGAAGGCCAACTATGGTCAGAGCCCAGTGCTGAGAGAAACACAAGGTAAATAAGACACGATCCTCGCAGGAGGTTATGTTCTGGTAGGGGCATACATGTTTACACAAGTCCTTGTATAACAAGGAGGGGTTAAAAAGTATCAAGGAAAAAATGGGGAATGCATGAAGTTGAGTGACCAGGAAAGATTTCTGTGGAAGAGATTCTTTAGGTAGAATATTTAGTTCAGAATCCTGGCTCTTCTAGAGTGTTTTAAAAATGTAAATAAAATGTGGATGCTTACTTTATTATATGATTGTGCCTCATATTACTCCTGGTAGAACATAAATTAAGGGAAAGGAAATCTTCATATTTTGAAGTTAGACATCAAAAGTATGCTTCCAATCACTTTGAAAATGTCCACAATCTGAAATAGCTCTTTTCTAAGCAATATTCAAAATTAAAATATTATTTTTAATTTATTATTTAATTTTTGTTCTTGCAGTCGTTTTTGCTTTCTTAAATGTTAAGTATTTAGTTGCCTTAAAGTTGGATAGTCCTTGAGGTCTAGCCTGGGATCCCATCCACATTTTATTTCTGTGGAAAATACATTCTGAGTTTCAAATGACTGAGGGAGGAGTATGCTTTTCCAACATAATCTTCTTCCTATATGCAGAAAAGCAGAAACAGCAAAATAAAGCCTTCACTTTAAAATGCAACTCCATGACACCTGGACATTTAGCTACAGTGAGCTTCTCAGGATTCTAGTGAGACCGGACATTATATTAGGTGCAGTCCGATGAAATGTAATTTTGTACATTAAAAACAGTTGAGGAGTGACTGGGTGGCTCAGTCAGGTCATGACCTCATGGTTCATGAGATCAAGCCCCAAGTTCGGCTCTGCACTGGCAGAGTTAGGATTCTTTCTCTCCCCCTCTCCCTACCCCTCCCCTGCTTGTGCTCTCTCTCACTCAAACTAAATAAATAAACATTAAAAAAAAAAAAAAAAAAAGACAGGGGCACCTGGGTGGCTCATTTAGTTAAGCATCTGACTTGAGCTCAGGTCATGATCTCACAGTTGGTGAGTTTGAGTCCTGCGTCAGGTGAGCTCATGCCCTGCTTAGGGTGAGCCCCACTTTGGGTGAGCCCCCTCTTCCCCCCTCCCCCCCCCTCCCCCTCCCTCCCTCCCTCCCTCCCTCCCTCCCTCTCTCTCCTCTTCTCTCCCTCTCTCCTTCTCCCTCTTTCCCTCCCTCTTTATCTCTGCCCTCATGGGATTCTTTCTCTCTCCCCCCAATCCTTGCTCACTTGCAACCTCTCTCAAATAAATTAAATTAATTAATATATTTAAAAAACAGTTGAATGTTGGCAGTTTCACACAGTTCAACCTGGAAAGTCCAAAGACACATAGATACAAAGGCTTCAGAATTGATGGGTTCCTTAAGAAGATAAGGCCAGCAACATTAATTCTACGAACTTCCAATTCAGTGTAGGACAGAGTGACATTGATGAGGATAATGGGTACCTTTATCTTTCTGATTCCGTCCCCAACAAGTCCTAGGAAAGACTCCCAATAAGAAGCATATCTCAGTGAAAGATTTACATTTTCCAGTGACTATAGCATGCTTTTCTTTAAGCAGTTTTCTTGTGTTCTAGAATAAGTGTGTGATTCCAGATAAACTAGTAAACGTTACAGAAATAGAGCTTGGCTGGTATGCGGTGTTCTTCCATCTGTGTAGTTGTTAGGAAGTATTTATTCATGATACAAAGTCTGAGTGAATTGATTCTTCAGAGCAGCGGTCTCTGGGAATACAGTTTTTGAAACTTAGACTTGGACCCCTAGCATTCCCAGCATAGATCTTCAGGCGAGTGATCTGAATGCTCTGTTTTTGTTTTTGTGTTTTAACCCTCATATTGCATACCTCTGTGACAGGTTTGATCTGAAGTTACTAAGGCTGCCTCCTTGTCTCCACCAGGTTTTTACCCCTCGGTCGTGTATTTTTGCCCCTTCTTCTTCCCATATGTTCTTTTCTGCTTCTCTTCTTGATGAATTGGTAAGATTAAGTATTAGTGCCCTATGCAATATTTGCATGTCCTTCTTCAACCAGGAATATTATGCTACTTCATGAGCCAGTAATTAGAGTGTATCTTCATGTTCTCCCACACACACTGAAGCAGAGAGTCCGTGATAGTTAAAAATAAGATTTTCCAGGGGTATCCAGTTCTTAGAAGACAGACGGTAGTGCCTAGTTCTTAATGAAAAGCTTTTCTTTAAAAATCAGGCACGAGCATTTACAGATCTAGAAATTGAGATTACAAAAAGGTAAGCCAGGTTTGCGGGGCACTCTATCAACTTCCCAGAAGATCCCTGTCATTTTCTCTTGACATTGACCTGAGAGGAGCAGGTGCTGCTGTGTTCTGGGTGCTTCTCAGAGATGTGTTGCATTTGGGGTACTTGAGGAACTGGTGCTGGGTAGCAGGCACTGTTTCGGTTTTCACCGGGGAGGAAAATCAATGATTTTGAGAGAGTTGACAGTTGCACGATTATCACTCTCTGGGATTAACATTGTTTAGGAAGATGTGGAAGGCCACAGTAGTTGGTATGTAAGAAACACAGCATTTTGAAGGTTTCTCTGATCGCTGTGATCTGTTGGAGAAACGTGGTGATTTTTATGTCTAACGCGTGTGTTGTAAATCGGCATTTGACGACGCCACAGTCTTCTGTCCAGTATGAGCAGCTGGTGCTCTCGTGTGCCTCAGTTTTTCTTTGTTAATAACTCTGATTATGAATGTTCCTCCCCTGAAAAAATTGTTGAAACTACAGTATCGTTTACTTGTATTGATGAATGTTGTGATGTATACGTTTTAAAATATGTTAGACTGCCTTTTTCCTTCTTTATGGGGGCTGCTTTGTGTTTCCCAAATAGCAGTTATTTATATGCCATTTTTGAATTTTGCCACTGTACTATACCACTCGCACTATTATTTGCTTACTATTTCTTTTAAGTTGAGTTTAGGGGCGCCTGGGTGGCTCATTCCGTTAAGCGCCCGACTTCGGCTCAGGTCATGATCTCACGGTCTATGAGTTTGAACCCCGCGTTGGGCTCTGTGCTGACAGCTCAGAGCCTGGAGCCTGTTTCAGATTCTGTGTCTCCCTCTCTCTGACCCTCCCCCGTTCATGCTCTGTCTCTGTCTCAAAAATAAATAAACATTAAAAAATAAATAAATAAGTTGAGTTTAAATCTGCTCACCTACCTTTTTTTAAATTGAAGGACGGTTTATATACAGTAAAATTACCCACTTTAATGCTACAGTTTGAGTTTTGGCAGTTATACACCCAGATAGAACCATCAGCATCATCAAGATACAGGACATTTGCATCTCCCTGAGAAGTTCCCTTGTGCCTCTTTACAGTGGATCCCAGATCTGTTTTTTGTCCGCATAATCTGTCCCCACTTTATTTTTAACTTAGATTTTGCTAAGCAGTGGGGTCTATGAATTCAGTTTGAGGTCTTATTTTTTCCCCTAATTCATATGAAAATAAAGATATAATTTTGGTGTCACACTTGGTTCAACTAAAGGAAGTGTATACAAGAGCTTGTTTAAGCATGCTTGAAAGCTGAGAACATTAAAAAAATTTTTTTTAAGTCTATTTATTTATTTTGAGAGAGATATGAGTAGGGGATGGGGCAGAGAGAGAGGGAGAGAGAGAGAATCCCAAGCCGGCTCTGCACTGCCAGCTCAGAGCCCAGTGCGGGGCTCAAACTCACTAAACTGTGAGATCATGACCTGGACCAAAACCAAGAGTCGGAAGCTTAACCAGCTGAGCCACCCAAGAACCCTGAAAGCTGAGAACATTTTAAAAGTGACTGTAGAGCAATAGTTCCCAAATTTTATGCCCTAAGATTATTATTTTTCTACTGCAGTTTCTACTTTCGAAAGGTTGTTACAAACAACTTTATAGTAAGTAATCTTTATTAACAAACGATTGTTTATCTGATTGTTTATAATTGCCAACATCCATACAGCACGTTGCATCCTGCAGGTGGGGTGTCAATCAGTGTCTCAGGTCATGACCACAAGTTGTTGAACAATGAAATCGAACAAAATGATAAATAGAATGTATTCGAAATAAGGGTAGGAATAGTACCAGTGCTACTTCATACTGAGTTGATAGAATTCTAGCCAAAAGCAAAAATAAGTGATTTTTTTTCATTAATCCGTGCAACCCTATTCCAGATGAATTTAGAATTTCCTACTAGCTTTTTGAAAACTCAAGAATTACTCCCTGACTTCCTTTACTGTTTTATCTTGCATTTGACTCTTGACATTTTTCCTTTAACGTTTAAGTTGTGAGAGCTTCAATTGGCGATATTTGTGAACATTACAAGTGTGTTATTTCTTCTGATAGTGACAGGATATTTTAATACTTCACACTGACTGAAAGTGATGAAAATCACCTAGTATAAAAATGGCTCTCAAAAATGCTTCTAAAATGATGAACGGTGGGTCCCGTTTTACACAATGAGCTGTTTCAGTTCCGTGACAGTCACCATACAAACAATTGAGTGGTTCTTCTTAGGAGCCTTGAAATTGCATTAAGCCCTATCACGCATCTAGGTTCGATATAATTGAAGCAAAAATAATGAACCCACTTCATTACACAGCAGAATCAGCCGTAGCAGAAATGTAATTCATAAATGTACAGGCTACTGACTAGCAGTCTAATAGCTGTCTCTGAATCCTCAGTGATGAGTATTTAGGTTTCATGATTAGGTATGCACGCTCTGTAAATGCTTCGTTGCTCTGTTTTGGTTTGCTTTTTTAATAGTAGGTCTGCTGCGAGCGTCTAAGGCTGAGCGACCCAGGGTGAGAGGAGACTGTACGAGTCCAAGCTCAGATGTCTGAGTTGGCCACCACTCCCTTTCCTAGAAAAGCATTTTTTTTTTTTTTCATTTATATTTGAGAGACAGTGAGACAAAGTGAGAGAGAGGGAGACACAGCATCCGAAGCAGGCTCCAGGCTCTGAGCCGTCAGTACAGAGCCTGACACGGGGCTCGAACCCACAGACCGTGAGATCATGACCTGAGCCGAAGTTGGACACTCAACCGACTGAGCCACCCAGGCGTCCCTGGAAAAGCATCTTAAAACACTACATTCATATGTGCTGTTACCTGGACTGTCTCTTAAGGTCAGAAGGAAAGACAATGGAAAGGAAGCAGACTAAAGACCCCTGGTCTTCAAAGGGGGATGATTGGAATCTCTTGGTGATTTTATTAACAGAGGGACCTTTTTCCAGTTGTTTCTGGAAACAGCTTCTGGGAAAAGATTTTTAGTCAAGTCACTTGACCCAAGATTTAAATGAGGGAGAATGTATTCAGTTGTGTTTAGAGGCAGGCAAAGAAACCTGTTGTCCCAATACCTGCACTTCAGGGGCACTACTTGCAAATTATATGTTGTCTTTGATTTTACATTATAACTCAAACAGCCATGGCCACAAACATTTGCGTGGGCTCCACTATGTGGAGCGATGGTGTGAGCATTTTGGTGAACGTTTTAGTGAAGGCCTGGTTTGCCCGGACTGTCTCAGCTCATCATACCTGTTGTCATGGCTTAATTGCTAATAGTGCTTCCTTTCACTCTTGAAAATGCCCTGGTTTGGATGCTGAGTTTTGGGTCATGTCGTTGAGACTGTGAAATCTTACCGATAGGGAGAGCCTTCTGATACACTTTTTATCTAGGTGAAAACATTAATCACACAAGGATCATCTTTAAGATGCCTTAAGAGGCCTTAGCTCTAATTGTGACTTTTGAGTCCAAGGCTTTCTCCAAGTGTGAGTTGGTTTGTTTACTTATTTGATAAAATTGAGAGGTAGTATTGCCTAGTGGTTAAGAGCGCTGGTTCTGGGATAGTACAGGCCCTAAAGCATATGATCTGTGCCTTTGGGTTAGTCAAGAAGTGATGCATTTAGAGTGGTAAGTTAGCATAATGCCTGGAATATAGTAAGCAGTCTGTTAACTGTTAGTAATTATTAAGGATCACAGATCTTATTGAGCCCTTTTTCTGTGCTAGACCCTGTGCTTGGGGCTAAGGAATTAAAAAAAAAAAAAAAAAAAAAAAAAGGACATTCTTCCTAGGAACTTTACACAGAATGCTGTCTTTTCCCTCTCTCCAGATCCTGAAACGATCTCCATCCAGATGCCAAATAATAAATATTTTTATACAACTCAGTGTTTCTCTCACGTAGGTTTGTGTCTGTCTGATGCCTTGCTGTTGTTTATTAACATTTACCACCCAACTGCCGCGTCTGGCACTGTAATAGGTCTTGAGGGTGTGAAATGTTAGTAAGATAATCATGGCTGCTCTCACTAGAAGCGTATGGAGGCATGGTTTTTAGTTTTAAGGGACCAGTGAACAAACACATGTTTTTCTCAGAGCATTCCTTGCCTGACAGAGCGTAATATTATCCTGCATCTGGCTAACATTTTGTGTTTTGGACTATCTAGTTAACACAGCAAGCACATGAGGGTTTGTGGAATTGGGGTCACATATTCACATTTAATTTACTGGAGCATTACTGTGTTTTTGACCCACCCACTTCTCGCCACCTCCTCCACCCCCAACTTCACTTCCTAAAAGAGAGGAGAAGCCAGAACAATTTAAATGTAAGCCATGCCTCAAGGGAATTAAGAGCAAAAATGAACTGTTGGGACCTCATCAAGGTAGAAAGCTTCTGCACTGCAAAGGAAACCATGAACAAAACTAAAAGGCAACCGACGGAATGGGAAAAGATATTTGTAAGTGACATATTGGATAAAGGGCTAGTATCCAAAAATCTGTAAAGAGCTCACCAAACTCCACACCCGAAAAACAGATAATCCAGTGAAGAAATGGGCAGAAAACATGAATAGACACCTTGCCAAAGAAGACATCTAGATGGCCAACAGACACATGAAAAGATGCTCAACATCGCTCCTCATCAGGGAACTACAAATCAAAACCACACTGAGATAACCACCTCACGCCTGTCAGAGTGGCTAAAATGAACAAATCAGGGGACTATAGATGCTGGCGAGGGTGTGGAGAAACAGGAACCCTCTTGCACTGTTGGTGGCAGTGCAAACTGGTACAGCCGCTCTGGAAAACAGCACGGAGATTCCTCAAAAAATTAAAAATACAACTACCCTACGACCCAGCAATGGCACTACTAGGAATTTTCCAAGGGATACAGGAGTGCTGATGCATAGGGGCACATGCGCCCCAATGTTTATAGCAGCACTTTCAACAATAGCCAAATTATGGAAAGAGCCTAAATGTCCCATCAAGTGACGAATGGATACAGAAGATGTGGTTTATATATTCAATGGAATACTACTTGGCAATGAGAAAGAATGCAATCCTGCCATTTGCAGCAACATGGATGGAACTGGAGGGTATTATGCTGAGTGAAATAAGCCAGGCAGAGAAAGACAGATACCATATGTTTTCACTCATATGTGGATCTGGAGAAACTTAACAGAAGACCAAGGGGGAGGGGAAGAGGAAAAAAAAGTTACAGAGAGGGTAGGAAACAAACCATAAGCGACTCTTAAATACTGAGAACAAACTGAGGGATGATGGGGGTGGGGGAGAGGGGAAAGTGGGTGATGTGCATCGGGGAGGGCACCTGTTGGGATGAGCCCTGGGCGTTGTATGGAAACCAGTGACAAGAAATTATATTAGAATAAATAAATGCAAGCCATTCCTCTCAATGAGCATGTGCTCTGTGCAGAGAAAGACTCACACGGGAGAGCGTGAAGCTGCATTTCCCCCCACCTTTCACTGTGTAAACATCTCACTATCACATGTGACTTCTGTGTTTAAAATAAATATTGTTCATAAGTAGTGAATTCTAAACTAAGTCAACTATTTTGTCTACTCTTAACTGAAAAATGTGTTCCAATCCTATAGGAACATTAGCTGTGTTGACCTTAGAACCTGTATGTTGATGTCCTTTATGCTGTGGCTTCCTAAGGGGTTTCAGAGGTAACATGACAGTCCGAGAATGAAGCTGACTGGAGACCTTTTGTCCTACAAAAGCAATCAAAATTAGTAAGAGTCTGAATCACTGCCTTCAGGAAGCTTATCATCTAGAAGGATCATCTCTAAAACAAGTCGCAGTAGAAGATGTAAGGAATCATAAGCAGCAATTGCATGTTAGAATGGCCCCAGTTTCAAGGGTTGTGTTCCATTGTCCCCATAAATACATACAATTGTGTTTGTCAAGCAACAGGTTCAGATTATTTGGCCTAGAAAAAATGGGATTGATATCTTTTTTTTTTTTTTTTTTTTTTTTTTTTTAAGAAAGCATGTACAAGCAGGGGAGGAGGCAAAGGGAGGAAAAGAGAGAATCCCAAGCAGCCTCCATGCTCAGCATGGACCCTGATGTGGGGCTCAGTCCCATGACCCTGGGATTGACCTGAGCAGAAATCAAGAGTCAGACACTCAACTGACTGAGCCACCCAGGTGCCCCGTATTGATATCTCTAAAGAGAATATGAGAGAGTGAAATGGCTTTATCCATAAAAGTTTCTTGCAAGTACTGAATTGTGATTTAATAGCTGCAGAGAGAAAAGGCAGAAAGGCATTTCAGACATGGCAAGTGTTAAAAGCATCAAACATCGAGGTGTGGTTGATCAAGCAAAACTGTTTGTCTTTTCCTTTGGCCAAATGATTGGGGACACACTGGAGTGTCACAGGAGGTGAGAATAATAAGGAACGTGGTCGTAGACTGAGGAGTTAAGATGAATCCTCTAGACCATTATCTGTTCCTCGTATCCCACTCATGATCATTAGCTGAGAACACTGAGACCATTTTAGATGGCATTCTAACCCATCTCATGGTTACATTTAAATTGTGGAGTTGATTGTAAACACCATTTTTAGAATGATTTTTCTGTCTTGTGTAAAAATCATATTGGACATGGCTACATGCTTATTTTTGTAATCCCTTTTGGGAGTCACTGTGATGTAATAAAAAAGGAGCCCGGAAACCCGGAGTATGGCACCACTCCACCATCTGTTAGCTCTGTGACCTTAGGCCACTCGCTTCACCTTTCTGACTCTTAGTCCTCACTTATAAAATGGCAGACCGGACCTTTACATGTTATACTTTCTTTGCTTTCTTTTCATTAATTTTCTTCTTATTGTTATGAAACAGATCTGATCTCCTTAATGGAGGGTTGGGAGCTGAAAGCCCCACCTGCCTACCCATCCGCACTTTTCCAGAGTTCTTCCCAAGAGTCCTAAGACTCAGAAGAACACAAGTGGAGAATCCCTGGACCACATCCCTAAGGTCTCTTCTAGAATGAACATCTTCTATACTTACATTGATAGACTGAGTATAATTTCTTTTTTTAAATATATTTTTTAATGTTTATTTTGAGAGACAGAGCATGAGTGGGGGAGGGGCAGAGAGAGGAGACACAGAATCCGAGGCAGGCTCCAGGCTCTGAGCTGTCAGCACAGAGCCCGATGTGGGGCTCGACCCCACCGACTGCGAGGTCATGACCTGAGCTGAAGTCAGACGCTCAACCAACTGAGCCACCCAGGTGCCCCTGAGTAGAATTTCTTAAAAACAATTTTGAGGAGATACTGCAATACTAACTGTAATACAACCTATTGTACATTTACTCCATATAATATTAGGTGCAGTAGGAAATATGAAGAGAACAGAGCATAAATACACTTGGCATACACTTGAGTAAGAGGGGAACAGAAGAGAGCCTCTGTAACTGTTTATAACCCAACTCATATAGACATTCAAGACAACGAATATGTCTGCTTTAAGATTGCTAGGGAGATTAAGAAAAAAAAGAAAATGAGTTTGTTTAATTTTGTAAGATTTAAGAAATTTTTTATTTAGAGGTGCCTAGGTCGCTCGGTTGAGCATCCAGCTTCGGCTCAGGGCATGATCTCACGGCTCGTGGGTTCAAGCCCCACATTGGACTCTGTGCTGACAGCTCGGAGCCTGGAGCCTGCTTCAGATTCTGTGTTTTCCTCTCTCTCTCTGCCCCTGACCTGCTCATGTTCTGTCTCTGTCTCTCTCAAAACTAAACCTTAAAAAAAAGAATTGAAAAATATTTTTAAATTTATTTTTTGAATGTGAGATAGTAGGACACTTGGTAATAAATCCAAAAAGAACATAAAGGGGCACCCTACTGTTGATTTTGGCTCAGGTCATGATCCCATGAACCCGTGAGATGATCTCACAGGTTCGTGGGATCAAGACCCCCATTGAGCTCTACACTGACAGTGTGGAGCCTGCTTG